ACGACGCAAAAGAATCCCCTTTAAAAGTCATCGTCGCCAATCGCACTGGGACTATGCGGGATCGCAAGGGCACGCTCTAAACCGGTCCTCTGCTTCAATAGGAACGCGAAATTCGACTTTGACTTTTCGTGTTTTCGGCATTTCACGTAGCACGACGCAAAAGAATCTCCTTAAAAGTCATCGTCGCCAATCGCACTGGGACACTGCGGGATAGCAAAGGCACGCTCTAAATCGGTCCTCTGCTGTAACAGGAACACGAAATTCGACTTTGACTTTCCGTGTTTTTGGCACTCCACGTAGCACGACGCTAAAGAATCTCCTTAAAAGTCATCGTCGCCAATCGCACTGAGACTATGCGGGATCGCAAGGGCACGCTCTAAATTGGTCGTCTGCTTCAATAGGAACGCGAAATTCGACTTTGACTTTGCGTGTTTGCGGCACTTCACGTAGCACGATGCTAAAGAATCTTCTCAAAAGTCATCGTCGCCAATCGCACTGGGACTATGCTGATTCGCAAGGGCACGCTCTAAATCGGTCCTCTGCTTCAATAGGAACGCGAAATTTGACTTTGACTTTCCGTGTTTTCGGCACTTCACGTAGCACGACGCTAAAGAATCTCCTCAGAAGTCATCGTCGCCAATCGCACTGGGACTATGCGGGATCGCAAGGGCAAGCTCTAAATCGTTCCTCTGCTTCAATAGGAACGCGAAATTAAGTGGCGAAGCGGAAAAAGGGGATAAGTCGAAAAACACGATTTTTCAGGAGAGGCGAAAAACATGTTCCCGTATAATATTCTATACTTCGGGTGCGATATCTTGTTCGCTTTGCAATGCGGATCAACATAAAAAAAGTCATTTAAACAAAGCGTTAATGGTTTTGTAGATATGTCAAGTCTCTGACTTATCTCGTTTGGTCGCGCCTGTCAAAACGAGACAAGTCGACTTTTTCCCACTCCCCACTCACCCCCCTACGAGTTATTTCGACTTATCTTTCCGGACCTGACAGCACTTGGAGCTATGTCGACTTATCCACTGCGCATTCACGCGCTGAATGAGTTAAGTCGACTTAACTCTCTGGAGCTTAAGGTTTTTAGGGACATGTCGACTTGTCCCTTGTGCACTCATGCACTCTATGAGCTAAGTTGACTTATCTCTCGGGTGTTTTTCCCCGTTGGGGTTATGTCGATTTGTCCCCTTTAGCAAATTAAATTGTTTAAAAGATTAGGAGATAAGTCGCGTGTGTTTTGGGTACGAGGAACTAGAAACAATTCGTTAGAGGAAAACAATGCTCCTCAATTTTAGTCAAAGATTACCGTGTGTTTATTAAAATAATTCTAAGTAACTGCAATGCGAAAGAGTGACAGTTCACCTGCCAAAAAGAAGGAAAAAACAAGCTTAACGTGACACATTTTTGGCTGAGCGATAGCGAAGCCCGTTACTCAGGTGGGGTTGAAAAGTTTTGTCTGTCTGTCTGTGTGTCTGTCTGTCAGCACTACTACTCCTGAACGGCTCGGCCGATCTGGCTGAGATTTTGCACACTTTTTGGGTATGTCCTTGGCTCGGCACACGCAAAATTTTACTATCCTAGCTCAACTGGTTCAGTTTTTATAGCCGAAAAACACCTAAAAAACGGCGAAAAATCGAGTTTTCTGCCGGCAAATGCCTTCTGCCTTGAAGAAAGGGGGGTCAGGGGGGCAGAGCCCCCCAGCCCCGGCAAGTTGAAAAGTAACAAGGGTCAAGATCGTGTTATTTGTGGATGAAGCAACTCTATCTGGAATGAAGGGGGGTCTGCGGGGCGGAGCCCCCCAGCATGCAACAATTTAGAAGTAACCGACGATGGGCAAGCCATGGCCTGCCGAAGGCAGGCTAGCGCCGCAGGCCAAGGTAGGTACGCCAGGCGCGGATTGGAGGAACAGGCAGCGAGACATCGCGAAGCCTGTTACGACAAGACGTGGTCTGGCGTAAACCTACCTTGTTTAAAATTAAATTGTCTAACCCCAGCCGAAAATCTCGGTTACGATTACGGCCGGTTTCGACTCCGATTCCGACCCCGACCGGGAGAGTTCCGGTTACCTTCGTAATTTCGGACAGGGTCCGGCTACGGGTACGATCGGACCCGGACGAAGTTGCGATTACGATCGTAGCCTGATGGGACCGTTGTGAAATGGAGGTGCGCAGAGTCTCCAAGTCCGTTGCCTGTGACCTCTCTGTACCCTCTGATTTCAATGCACGATACATGTACCCAGAGTGAACTTTGCGCGCTACGCCCAATTTTGACGTCAAAAATTTGTTGCCAGGTACCCTTTACAAGTTATTGAGTGTTTCTGAAAGTTTACTGGAGACCTCAACGCATGGGCAACGCATCTTGGAGTCCGAATCCGTAACCGGAACGGGTCCGATCGCAACCGGGAAGAGTCCGATCACAACCGGGAAAAGTCCGATCGTAATCAGGACAAGTCCGATCACAACCGGAGTTTCTTGTCGTAGTCGGGAATAAGGTCCGGTTTCCGACCGTAATCGGGAAATTTGGGCGATTTTCCGATCGGAACTCGTAATTTTCTACGGGATCGTAACCGAGATTTTCGGCTGGGACATAATGCATTATTGAACATGCCTTATATTTAGATATTGCAAAGACACTGCAAAGCCAGTGGTAAGTTTGCTTGCCACAAATTTGGCAAGCCGTTTTGAATGCCAAAATTTGGCAAGCTTTGGTCGGCACTCGTCATTAGCTTGCCAAATTTTGGCAAGCTGGGGAGTAATTCCGGGCGAAGCTTGCCAAATTTTGGCAAGCTTGGGAGTATTTCCGGGCCATGCTTACCAATTTTTGGCATTCAAAACGGCTTGCCAAATCCGTGGCAAGTAAACTTACTACTGGGATGGCAGTGTAACCTGCAGACATATGCATTCAATCAACTGACTTAGAAGTATGTGTATTTTCTGGGGCACGCAAGCCTTGTGTTTAGTATCAATTTCCTTCTTACACCACAAGGCTGCGCAGATGGCCAATCACATTTAAAAATAGAAATATAGTACTCTTTAAAAAGTTGTTGCCGGTACTGGGGCGGGGGGACTCGGCGCAGCGTTCTGTCGCGGTAGCAGCCGCAGCCGTGCGCCGTAATTTGACACTGCGAGATACGCCCGCCGCGCGCCGCGCTCTCCCGCCCGGCCGGGCTGCTCGGTGCGTGTCTGAGTGTCACCAGTTTGTCCGACAGGCCAGCAGGCGGGGAGACCGGGTCGAGAGTCTCTAGGTCGTCTATCTGGTATGGGTCTGGAGCCATGTAATTATGTTTTATTTAATTTATGATAGTTTTGGTTTTTACTTTGCCCTTTTGTGTTAGTTTAAACTTTGTAAAAAATAGACTGTTACACAAATTTGAACAAATTTCATTGCCATCGAATGTTGTTGATTTCGGTGAGGACCGCCTACTGAAGGCAGAGGTCTCCCCGCCTGCTGGCCTGGCCGGGGGGCATATTTTGAGAAGCTCAACGGGTTCGGCACCACCGCACAACTCGTCTGGCGGAACGCACGGGAGGCTGCCCCAAGAAGCCTGGAACCAAATGATCCAACCTATCCTAACCTTTTTAATTTTTTTAAAACTAAGACGTGAAAACCTGGCGGGCGCGGAAGCCACAGCCGTGGCGCGTTTTCCACCGAGTGCTTGATGACGCGTCCCCTGACTCAGTGTTGTGACGGCCGTATCGCGACACGCGAGACTCAAAGGGTTGCCGCGCAGGCCCTGAAGAGGGAGTAAAGAGGAACAGGCACGGAGGCAGGGCAGGAAGAACGGAGACGGAGAGGAGACAAACGGAGAGAAACAGGCGCGACAAGCAGGTAGAACAAACGTGCATGATTAGGTCCTTTCTTTGGCCCTGGTAATAACTTCAAATAATTTGTACACCTGATGTGAACGCTTATTACATTTATTAAGTTTTGTTATTTACGTTGACGACCGCCAGGTGAACTAGGGAACCCCGAGCAAAGTGCATCATCAAGTCTGACACTGCGATGCACCTGGTTTTCCCTCCGGCATACGCCTCGCGCCTTCGTCCAGCCGCAGCCCTGGCCAGGGGACGGGACGCGAAATGCTGAGCCATGAGATAATTACTGTTATGGATAAGCTACGGGAGCCCGGGGAATCGCTGCATGCGTCAATATTCCGCCAGCTTGCTCCCCCAGTTTAAGTCTAATCGAATTGATATTGGTACCAATCGAAAGAGGAAGGTTCAATCTATGACTACACAACTTTTCAGCTCGATCGAAGACCTTTTAGTTTGAACGAAACGCGCCTAAAGTCGGGCGCCTTCCATTAGGCAGGGTGGCGGCCGGACGCCAGCGGCCTGCTCGAACTGCCGCAAAACGTTCCGCTGCGATTTTAGCCAAAACGCGTTATTACGCTATGTTTCGCGCACATTTCGTCTCTGTATGCAAGAAAATAATTTTTAGAGACATTTTGCATCCAAACATGACTAGTTTTCACGATTTTCGCGAATTATCTCGTGGTGAGGTTATGAGGTTAGAGTTGTCCTAAACAACGCCGATGGCCTAGGCGCTTGTTTGTCGCTGTTCGACTCATTTTAACATCTTTCAAAGCAGGTAAGAGTCAAACATTGATTAGAAATGCATTCCTCAATAATTTTGACGTCCACTCGCTTTCAAAACAACGCACGTCACGCGTTATGTACAATACAATGGGTAAAGTTGAGTACCGCCGGTGGGTTTGTGACTCGGCCTCTCGGCTTGTTATGTAACGAAACTCACAATTTGCGCCATTATTTGTTAGAAAGTCATGAATGGAATTACATGATATGTTCAGATGAATGCTCTTTTACGTTTTATTTTCCATCCTAAACTGTAGAATTCTATTTTATCAAGTTTTGAGGGGTGTTTTCTGTAATGTTGATTCTAATTGTATTTTGCCCAAATAGTTCTGACATTTGAGGGACTAAATCATTTTATCGCAGTAGAAATATGTCTTTGTATCTCGTGTTTCTGTAAAGATTTTGCTACTAACTCCTTGAACAACAGTTTTCGTTACTCGTGTGGGTCCTCTGTTTACACGGTTATTTATATTGTTTCCCTTTGTTATTGTAGTGACGAGCTCCCAGAAGAATTACTGCCAGAGGATGACAGCATGTTCAATGATCTATCACCCAGCCGAAAATCTCGGTTACGATTACGGCCGGTTTCGACTCCGATTCCGACCCCGACCGGGAGAGTTCCGGTTACCTTCGTAATTTCGGACAGGGTCTGGCTACGGGTACGATCGGACCCGGACGAAGTTGCGATTACGATCGTAGCCTGATGGGACCGTTGTGAAATGGAGGTGCGCAGAGTCTCCAAGTCCGTTGCCTGTGACCTCTCTGTACCCTCTGATTTCAATGCACGATACATGTACCCAGAGTGAACTTTGCGCGCTACGCCTAATTTTGACGTCAAAAATTTGTTGCCAGGTACCCTTTACAAGTTATTGAGTGTTTCTGAAAGTTTACTGGAGACCTCAACGCATGGGCAACGCATCTTGGAGTCCGAATCCGTAACCGGAACGGGTCCGATCGCAACCGGGAAGAGTCCGATCACAACCGGGAAAAGTCCGATCGTAATCAGGACAAGTCCGATCACAACCGGAGTTTCTTGTCGTAGTCGGGAATAAGGTCCGGTTTCCGACCGTAATCGGGAAATTTGGGCGATTTTCCGATCGGAACTCGTAATTTTCTACGGGATCGTAACCGAGATTTTCGGCTGGGCAGCCAGGGCTGACATCAGTAGCGATGCATTGGTTGAAGATGACAGCTTCAACGAATTTGCAGACGATGCCCAAGGACCAACCTCCACTCCAAGTTCACGGGCTCGTGCTAGGTTGCCTGGGAATGCTGGCTCTCCCAGACGCTCTGCCAGGCTGGCGTCACCTGGCAGATCCCCAACTGCAGAGTCAACTACAAATTCTCCACGACGCTCTGCCAGGCTCGCATCACCAAGTGGATCACCTAATGCTGGGCCCAGTTCCCCTCGACGCTCAGCCAGGTTGGCCTCACCAAGAGGGTCACCTAAGGCTGGCCCAAGTACACAGTCTCAAAAGAATTCAGCAAGACCTTCAACATCTAGTAGTCTGCCCGCACCCCCTTTGCCTCAACGCACATCACAACAAACTAAGGGAAAGGGAAAAAAAGCTCAACCAAAACCATCCCGAATGAAGTGTCCCAAGTGTCCCCCCACATTAAGTAATAAAAAGACACTTGATGCACATCTTAGGGGGCATCTCATGTCAGGTAAATAAATGAAGTATTATTTTTAGTACATGTGGTTCCTTCTGTATTTAATTTCTTAAATTTATTAATAGGTTTCATGTTCTTTTTTCTTGGTGCAGGAGTAACTTCTCGAGCACCTTCCTTAGAAGAACTTACTCAAGAAATGTTGCCTTTGATGAAAGCGGCGTTACAAGATATGCTTACAGAGCCCATCATCGGGGACCTAAGTCAACTTGTCCATGATTATTGTTTGGGTTTGAATGAATCCTTAGATGATCCTACCCTTGATAATGACCTATTGTCTCATTTAAGTCTCTGCTTTAGTGAAGTATTATCTGGGAGAAAAGCACTTTTCCCCTCTGCCATTCGAACATCAATGTATGTGGGCACTAATAATTTGTTGTGTTCCCCCGAATTTAGAAAGACTATGAAAGACTTTTTCCAACTGTTGAAGGAATGTGATGGCAATGTTCTAAATGTGTTTTTAGGTGACTTTATGTGCTCGCTGTCCAGAAAAGTAATAGTGATGTGTATGAAGAAAATGAGAGGAGGACTAAACAGTGATGCAGTGCCATTATATACCAAGAGGTCTGGGGATGATTTTGAATCCGTAGAGTTTAGGCAAGAGGTGTACCACATTTCGGGTTCAATAGTCAATGGTTTCTTGTGGAAAGGCGTGCAGTACACAGAAGATAGCAAGACTTGGGTCAAATACTGTGCTGTTCTCCGGGATAACTTGTTGTTCAAATCAGGGAGTGAGGCAGCCAAACGGTGTTCTGATGAAGTTCGTCACTTTTCTGAAAGTAAAGATAGAGGGGGTTACAAACATGTTAATGATGATACTTTTCAATTTTTCCTTTCTGTATTTATACTTCTTCATTCTTCTGAGAGTGAATATGGGTCTCTTCCTCCAAATGTGATAGACAACAGTATTTTAGTGAGTGAAGTTATTTTATGTCTTTGGGATGAGCTGGTCGGTAATGATTTAACTCAAGATGAGTCACTAGATCTCTTAATTCAAATTTGCCAAAGTTGTGTGAAAGTAACAGTGAAGGGTATTATTAAGAGAAGGATTAACCAACATTTGAAGAAAGCCCAGAACTCTGTTCCACTACGAGCACTGATGGCTGCTAATTAATAAGTTTTAACCAAAGATTTGACTGTTTACACCGTAGAATTTTATTGTTTACTTTTAATGTTTGATTACTTCTGTGCCTGTTAGCTTTGTATGCCAAAGGAAGGTGTATTAAGAAGAAAAATTATTTTTATGCATGTTAACCATTTATCAAGAAAGCTGTATTTGTTTTCAGTATTTTATAGATATGTTGACATATTCTTGATATCTTTTTGATAAAAAATATTTTAAACATAAGAGTGATAAAAATAAATAACATGCTCTACAGGAATCAATTGACCTTTTTAACATATCCTCCACTTATTTTAAAACACAGAACAAGTTACAAAATTAGGACCAAAACAGTACACAGCAATACACATTTACTTCCTTTGCCTTCTTCTTTTGGGCAGCGGCTCATTAGTTATTTCCATTCCCTTCTGCGTGACTTCTGCAGAGTTGCTCCTTCTATGTTTAACTCCTAAGTCTCGTTCAATAGCAGATGCAGCCATCTTTGAAGCAAACTGTGCAGCGTTGGGATTTCTGCTGCCACCACAAGCACCCCGTTGCTCACTGAAGTGCTGCTCCAATGGATCTTGAGAAAATACACGTGCCAAGATGAACTTGGGTGGCTCCTTTAGATTTTCAAATAGGTAGCGAATGGACCCAGCGATACCTCTAATACTCATTTCAATGCCATACAATGTTTGATGTGCCAGCAGCATCTTTTCTTTCTTTTTTGGATCAATTCGCAGAGCCTGGACCTCATCACTCCAGTCCTCTAAGTATTTGAGGAATGGTACATCTAGAACTTCATCCTCGATAGGGTTTGGGTGTTGTGGGTGAGGGACCCCAAGCCAGTCAAATCGAGGGTCCCATGCACTAGTGTATGGTGCCAAGTTCTTATTTCTGGTTCTTTTGTCTTCATAGGAATATGCACCATTCAGACAGTCAAAAAATTTGTTAACATATCTTATAAACTTAACCAGTTCTGTAGTGCCAGTCCACTTTTGGTCTTCAATATCAAGGGCAACTGTGTCACTAAGAACAAGAGCAGCATTTCTTACATTCATGCAAGAAAATTTGTTTGGAAACACATTTTGACTATTCAACTTAAAGGACTTCCTAAAGTTGCAATCTTTGAAAGTAAGATACAATCGTACAATTGTTTTCCATTCTAGCTTCTCCCCATTTTTTTGCAAGTACCTAGTTTTCTTGTCACCAGAATTATGGAGACAGTTCCTTATTGTTTTAATCAAGTGACACACATCTGATATGAAATAAAGAGGTCTTTCTTCGGGGGATGCAAAATTCAGAGTGTCAAAGACAACTTTAGATTTCAGTTTTGTTAAAGGTGTGTGCATTTTGATGAAAGATCTATTGGTGGGTGCACCATCACAAATAAATGCTAGCACTTTAACATTTGCCTTTTCAAGCCTAGAAATAACATTCCATGTTTTAGCATACATTGTGTCAGCAGTGAGTGTTCTAAGAGGAAATCCTGCTACCACATACTTCACATTTGAAGCAACACCCTTCACCATGTAGGCAAGCATTGTTTTGGCTAGTTGGGCTTCCTTTTCTTTTTCTTCCTTTCCCGTAAATTTACTTTCAATGTAAGTTTCAAAATCAGACACTTCTTTTTCTACTTCATCAAGACGGGTATAGCCCACAAGCTCATCTCCTTTCCCTTCCTTGCGACCATTTCCTCGGTACACTAAATTCTGGGAAATGTAAATTTCATCACACAGCAAAACATGGTACTTCTGATACTCTTTTTTAAGTCCATCCACCCTTTCCTTTACCAATTCTAATATTCCATCAGAAATCCCATCTTGAGCCTGTATGGCATGAGAATAATCATAAAGTGTTCTTGCATGAGGAAGAAGTATTGCTCCACTGTCTCGTAATCCATCATACCCAGAGTTGGTCATCTTGCTTTTAATATGCAATGCCAGTCGAATCATAGTTGGGTGCCACCTGATAGTCCTTTTGTCTGACTTGGCAGCATTTGAAATTTGACATTCGAGGAACATTTTTTGAATTTCTGTTAGTTCAGTGCTTGCCAAAATATGTCTTAAAGCGATATCCAGATCAGATTCAATTTCCACGCCTTCTTTCTCCAACAAATCTTGCACCTTCTTTTCAAGGTAATAAATTCTTTTGTCCTTTTTTCTTATGTCATCGTGTTGGGTTTTCAATTTTACATTTACTTGGTCAGGTGTCAGAAATATGTTTGGAGTGCAAGGATGAGCTTCTTCCGAAGTCAAAAACTCTTCTCTCCTCTTCAGACTTTTGTACACAGATGAACAGTTTTCACAGCGAGGCGCCTTACCCTTGCCCACACTAACCAACCACAGACACGATACACTTCTGCATGTCTCCTTAAAACTTCTCTCTTGATATGGGTTTCTGTCAACATAAGTTTGGGGGATGGTGGGCCAAATTTTCCTCGTGACTGCATGGTCAGCTCCAACACAAACATCATAATTCATAACTTCCCTGCAAACAGCCACACTTTGTTCACAGAAGAGTTGGCAACTTTTTTCATCTTCAGCCAAGGAAGGAATAGGAACCTTGGTAATAGTTTGGTTACTGAAGATACTTTCACAATGAATATTGATAGATACAAAACCTTGAAATGTCACGATCACTTCTCTTTGAACCGCCTTTGGTGTAGTGTCTGACAACAACAAAAAGTGAAAACTGTTTCTGTCAATAATTGGGACCCAAGCTGTGGGCAGCAAAGATCGTACTTTCACTAGACAAGTATTGACACACTGTAGGGAAAGTTCTATTTTTCTGGGATCTTCTTTAGGATTCACTACACCAAGGTCCTTGAAAACACTGCTAATTGGCGGTTCTTTCACAGCTGAAGTCGATGGAAATCTTGAAGATTCAACGGGCGTTGCTGATCTTGATGAATCGGCAGGTGTTTGAGGTCTTGATGTAGAGTCGGAACAAACCGACAGAGACACTTCCGTAGCCAAAGATGAATCTGGACGTGATACATCTGAATGAAATCCAGTAACTGAGCTGGCTCTGGAACTGACAGACGACTGAAAATCTGAACCAGATTGGACAGAGGATGAATCAGTGAATGTCATCCCATCAGTGTCATCAGCAGCATCGGTTGGGACATTGTCCTGAAACAAATGTCAGACATTATAAAAACTACTCCATAAAAATTAAACATAATCTAAACTTTAATTTTTGTTTACCTCAGCAACAGTGATGTCTTCAGTTGGTCTGCAGTCAACTTCGTCCAAATTTGCCACAGGCATATGTTGAGCAAGATAATCAGCACACACCTGGAAAGAAATTGCACAGTTCAAAAGATATTGCCAATGAACCAATAAACTACAGAAGTATTATGACAGCAACTCTTACTTCATCATCAGAAAAGATACATTCGGCCAGTTCAGTAACCCCAACAGGCTTGTAGCGGCCGCGCTGTTTGGTCCGCTTGACTTGTTTTCTCCGAGAGACTTTCCGAGGTTTTTCTGCTTTGCTTCCTTTGGAACTTCTTCCTCAATAGGTGGCTGTTCTTCCATGGCGATTTGGTAGGAAATCTACAGAGAAATAATGGACTTTTGTAAACAGTTTGCGATAGCAGCAACAGGCAGCTCCACCATACGCACATATTTGTCTCCCTAGTATTGTACATAACGCGTGACGTGCGTTGTTTTGAAAGCGAGTGGACGTCAAAATTATTGAGGAATGCATTTCTAATCAATGTTTGACTCTTACCTGCTTTGAAAGATGTTAAAATGAGTCGAACAGCGACAAACAAGCGCCTAGGCCATCGGCGTTGTTTAGGACAACTCTAACCTCATAACCTCACCACGAGATAATTCGCGAAAATCGTGAAAACTAGTCATGTTTGGATGCAAAATGTCTCTAAAAATTATTTTCTTGCATACAGAGACGAAATGTGCGCGAAACATAGCGTAATAACGCGTTTTGGCTAAAATCGCAGCGGAACGTTTTGCGGCAGTTCGAGCAGGCCGCTGGCGTCCGGCCGCCACCCTGCCTAATGGAAGGCGCCCGACTTTAGGCGCGTTTCGTTCAAACTAAAAGGTCTTCGATCGAGCTGAAAAGTTGTGTAGTCATAGATTGAACCTTCCTCTTTCGATTGGTACCAATATCAATTCGATTAGACTTAAACTGGGGGAGCAAGCTGGCGGAATATTGACGCATGCAGCGATTCCCCGGGCTCCCGTAGCTTATCCATAACAGTAATTATCTCATGGCTGAGCGGTGCGGTATGAATCGGAAGACAGTTTGACACTGGCGACACGCAGACACGCACTGAGAGCGCCGTCAGGACGGCCAGGCCGGGCGGAGCGTGGAGGTGGAGTGGCGCGGGGGACGGGAGCCCCGGGGGGGGGGGGGGGGGGGGGCGATCCCTTATTCCCCCGGCCAGGCCAGCAGGCGGGGAGACCTCTGGATGTTGAGGTTCACGGTTCGGTGAAATTACAGCGCATCGTTACAGGCATCGACGTGAAAATTGGAGACGCGTTACAGAACAAGATTACCTAAAGGGCGGTGGTCACCAAATTTCCATACCTTGCGCACAGCCGCTCTGAATGCGGCTCAACTTCATTCAAAATTTCAAAGCTAGAAATTTAACGCATCAAATTTTCCGGAGAAAATCTGACCCGACCGTAGGCTAGGATGACTCTTTAGGAAGGCACGTGCAAAGTTTCAGAATTTTTGGTCACGGCGTTTGCGAGAAAACAAAATTTACGTATCGGTCTACATCGCCTCCCGAGGCGGCGCGCTCCTTCCAGCGCGCTCGGCAAGGCTCACTTAAGCCTCCTCTCCGCGATGCGCGCGGTCAGCGACGCCAATTCTGCGGCACGCGCCGCGCGCCTCGGCTACACACGGCCAGCAGCCCAAGACAGCCGGCAAGCAGGCCTCGGGGCGCGAAACGCTGAGCTGGGCAGAATGAATCGGAGGACAGCCCGACACACCAGTGTCACGCGGACATGCACCGAGAGCGCCGACAGGACGGCCGGGCGAAGCGCGGCGGGTGGAGTGGTGAGGGGGACGCGGCCACTGGGGACCGGTCCCTTATTTCCCCCGGCCAAAAATCCGTGGTGAGGCTCAACCTGCGGAGTCCTAAAAGTACTGCAACAGCGGTGAAGATTTGACCGCACATTTCTACACTGTTAGAAATTAGCTCCGAAATTTTATGGAGAAAAACTCTATAATGACGTTCATGGAGACTCCATTTATTATCAACCTTTTTTTTCGGAGAGATTTTTTCAGGGCTTGAGCAAATGTTCCTCGGAGCATTACTTCGTTCCTGATGGGAATTAAAATGCACGTCTTTTCTCAGATATTTGAAAGAGGGCTTCGCCGAAGCATTCTTTGGTCTGAAATGGCAAGAAGGGACAATCTCTTTCGAGCTCCTTTGCGTCCTCGAGATCCTGTAGGCATCCCTCATGAAAACTGAGCTAAACAAAATAGAGGTTCACCTTTCCCTTATTTTTTAATTGGTTGCAAACTTTGACTTTTCGTGTTTTCGGCATTTCACGTAGCACGACGCAAAAGACTCTCCTCAAAAGTCATAGTCGCCAATCGCCCTGGGACGATGCGGGATCGCAAGGGCACGCTCTAAATCGGTCCTCTGCTTCAAAAGGAACGCGAAAATCGACTTTGACTTTTCGTGTTTTCGGCACTTCACGTAGCACGACGCAAAAGAATCTCCTTAAAAGTCATCGTCGCCAATCGCACTGCACTGGGAGAAATAATGAAGATTGTGGCTGTTAAACCTAATGCCACTCTCCACTGTTTACCGAAAGAAGGTGTTTACCGTACCCTGGGATACAGTAGACACCGTACCTGAAAGAACGGCGTTCACTGTATCCAGAGAACCTGCATCCACTGTACTTGGAAACTTTTCAGACACGGCATTCAGTATAACTGTAAGATAAAGGCGAAATTCCAAAATCGCGATAGGAACGTTTCGATGACGGAAAAGAATTCATTTCAACAAGACGAACAAAAAATGATAAGCATGTTATGGGCTCAGACTCGAAATTCAACAGATATCGGCATCAAAAGTCTAAAAAAGTAGAATTTTGGAACGTAATTTGATGAGTCCTATGTTAGGGGTCCAAAAATCCTACTTTTTTAGACTTCTGATCACGATTTCCACTGAATTACGAGTCTGAGACCATAATATGCTTATCATTTTTTGTGTGTCTTGTTGAAATGAATTCTTTTCCGTCATCGAAACGTTCCTATCGTGATTTTGGAATTTCGCCTATATCTTACAGTTATACTGAATGCCGTGTCTGAAAAGTTTCCAAGGTACAGTGGATGCAGGTTCCCTGGATACAGTGAACGCCGTTCTTTCAGGTACGGTGTCTTCTGTATCCCAGGGTACGGTAAACACCTTCTTTCGGTAAACAGTGGAGAGTGGCATTAGGTTTAACAGCCACAATCTTCATTATTTCTCCCAGTGTGGGACACTGCGGGATAGCAAAGGCACGCTCTAAATCGGTCCTCTGCTTTAACAGGAACACGAAATTCGACTTTGACTTTCCGTGTTTTTGGCACTCCACGTAGCACGACGCTAAAGAATCTCCTCAAAAGTCATCGTCGCCAATCGCACTGAGACTATGCGGGATCGCAAGGGCACGCTCTAAATTGGTCGTCTGCTTCAATAGGAACGCGAAATTCGACTTTGACTTTGCGTGTTTGCGGCACTTCACGTAGCACGATGCTAAAGAATCTCCTCAAAAGTCATCGTCGCCAATCGCACTGGGACTATGCTGATTCGCAAGGGCACGCTCTAAATCGGTCCTCTGCTTCAATAGGAACGCGAAATTCGACTTTGACTTTCCGTGTTTTCGGCACTTCACGTAGCACGACGCTAAAGAATCTCCTCAGAAGTCATCATCGCCAATCGAACTGGGACTATGCGGGATCGAAAGGGCAAGCTCTAAATCGGTCCCCTGCTTCAATAGGAACGCGAAATTCGACTTTGACTTTGCGTGTTTTCGGCACTTCACGTAGCACGACGCTGAAGGATCTCCTAAAAAGTCACCGACACTAACCGCACAGGGACTCTGCGGGATAGCAAAGGCACGCTCTAAATCGGTCCTCTGCTTCAATAGGAACGCGAAATTCGACTTTGACTTTTCGTGTTTTCGGCATTTGACGTAGCACGACGCAAAAGACTCTCCTCAAAAGTCATCGTCGCCAATCGCCCTGGGACAATGCGGGATAGCAAATGCACGCTCTAAATCGGTCCTCTGCTTCAATAGGAAAGCGAAAATCGACTTTGACTTTCCGTGTTTTCGGCACTTCACGTAGCACGATGCTAAAGAATCTCCTCAAAAGTCATCGTCGCCAATCGCACTGGTACTATGCTGGATCGCAAGGGCACGCTCTAAATCGGTCCTCTGCTTCAATAGAAACGCGAAATTCGAATTTGACTTTTCGTGTTTTCGGCACTTTACGTAGCACGACGCTAAAGAATCTCCTCAAAAGTCATCGTCGCCAATCGCACTGGGACTGTGCGGGATCGCAAGGGCACGCTCTAAATCGGTCCTCTGCTTCAAAAGGAACGCGAACATCGACTTTGACTTTCCGTGTTTTCGGAACTTCACGTAGCACGACGCTAAGGTATCTCCTCATAAGTCATCGTCGCCAATCGCACTGGGACTATGCTGGATCGCAAGGGCACGCTCTAAATCGGTCCTCTGCTTCAATAGGAACGCGAAATTCGACTTTGACTTTCCGTGTTTTCGGCACTTCACGTAGCACGACGCTAGAGAATCTCCTCAAGAGTTATTTTCGCCAATCGCACTGGGACTATGCGGGATCGCAAGGGCACGCTTTAAATCGGTCCTCTGCTTTAACAGAAACGCGAAATTTGACTTTGACTTTTCGTGTTTTCGGCACTTCACGTAGCACGACGCTAAAGAATCTCCTGAAAAGTCATCGTCGCCAATCGCACTGGGACTATGCGGGATCGCAAGGGCAAGCTCTAAATCGGTCCTCTGCTTCAATAGGAACGCGAAATTCGACTTTGACTTTGCGTGTTTTCGGCACTTCACGTAGCACGACGCTAAAGAATCTCCTCAATAGTCATCGTCGCCAATCCGGTACCTCCTATCAACAAACGCTCAGCATGCCGAATCCTGGACAAATCCGCTTATCTGAGGCTGCCGTGAAATGAAACCGCTTAGCTGCGGCACCTCGAAACATAACCGCTCATCTCGGAGCGCGCTAGACAGACCCGCTCATCGCCGCGCGGCCGAGCGCTGGATAGGTTATGTTGCCCCTCGTATTTACGTTCATTCAGCCGATGGGGAGCACTTTTGAAGAAAACCCTTAAGTGAATAACAAAGTTCTGATGCGGACGAACACGTGATAAATTATTTGGAGCCACAAAAAGTCTCAATGCATAAAAAGTACAATGTAAATTTTGGGAGCCGCCGCCCGTATTTTAGACGGACGCGGGTCTGTCCCGCGCTCCGAGATGAGCGGTTATGTTTCGAGATGCCGCAGCTGAGCGGTTTCATTTCACGGCAGCCTGAGATGAGCGGATCTGTCCCGGACTCGGCAAGCTGAGTGTTTGTTGATAGGAGGTACCGAATCACACTAAGACTATGCGGGATCGCAAGGGCACGCTCTAAACCGGTCCTCTGCTTCAATAGGAACGCGAAATTCGACTTTGACTTTTCGTGTATTCGGCACTTTACGTAGCACGACGCTAAAGAATCTCCTCAAAGTCACCGTCGCCAACTGCACTGGGACTGTGCGGGATCGCAAGGGCACGCTCTAAATCGGTCCTCTGCTTCAAAAGGAACGGGAAAATCGACTTTGATTTTCCGTGTTTTCGGCACTTCACGTAGCACGACGCTAAAGACTCTCCTCAAAAGTCATCGTCGCCAATCGCACTGGGACTATGCTGGATCGCAAAGGGGACGCTCTAAATCGTCCTCTGATTCAAAAAGAACGTGAAAATTTGACTTTGACTTTCCGTGTTTCGACACTTCACGTAGCACGACGCGAAAGAATCTCCTCAAAAGTCATCGTCGCCAATCGCACTGGGCCTATGCGGGGTCGCAAGGGCACGCTCTAAATCGGTCCTCTGCTTCAATAGGAACGCGAAATTCGACTTTGACTTTTCGTGTTTTCGGCACTTCACGTAGCACGACGCTAAAGAATCTCCTTAAAAGTCATCGTCGCCAATCGCACTGGGACTATGCGGGATCGCAAGGGCACGCTCTAAACCGGTCCTCTGCTTCAATAGGAACGCGAAATTCGACTTTGACTTTTCGTGTTTTCGGCATTTCACGTAGCACGACGCAAAAGAATCTCCTTAAAAGTCATCGTCGCCAATCGCACTGGGACACTGCGGGATAGCAAAGGCACGCTCTAAATCGGTCCTCTGCTTTAACAGGAACACGAAAATTGATTTTGACTTTTCGTGTTTTCGGCACTTCACGTAGCACGACGCTAAAGAATCTCCTCAAAAGTCATCGTCGCCAAACGCACTGGGACTGTGCGGGATCGCAAGGGCACGCTCTAAACCGATCCTCTGCTTCAATAGGAACGCGAAATTCGACTTTGACTTTTCGTGTTTTCGGCATTTTACGTAGCACGACGCAAAAAAATCTCCTTAAAAATCATCGTCGCCAATCGCACTGGGACTATGCGGGATCGCAAGGGCACGCTCTAAACCGGGCCTCTGCTTCAATAGGAACGCGAAATTCGACTTTGACTTTTCGTGTTTTCGGCATTTCACGTAGCACGACGCAAAAGAATCTCCTTAAAAGTCATCGTCGCCAATCGCACTGGGACACTGCGGGATAGCAAAGGCACGCTCTAAATCGGTCCTCTGCTTTAACAGGAACACGAAATTCGACTTTGACTTTCCGTGTTTTTGGCACTCCACGTAGCACGACGCTAAAGAATCTCCTTAAAAGT